TACTTTGAGCTCCATTTCAAGTTTCTTTTCGTAGTAAAACCAATCAAAATCACCCCTATTTCTATATGTTTTCCATTCTATCAAATGAAACCAACAAAACGAGAATACAACCATAAATACAATACAAAAATAGACCACATAGTCGGCATTTTAATTAAAAAAAAAAAAACAGTTTTTTTTTTCCTCATTATGCACTGTGTGCTGTAGGATTTTTTTTATATGGTGCACACCGACCACACAGACCCATTCTCTCACATGTGGGCCTATCAGCCTTCTCCTGCTTGATTTGAAGCCACTAGAATTCATGTGTGTATATACATCAAAAACGGTGGCTAGTAAGACGTATATATACGACCAAAACAGTTAAAGGATTAAACTGATACTGACTGGCAGCTGGGTCTTCCCATGGTACTTACTACTGTCCTCATCACCCCTCTTCTCCAGAGCCAACATGGTTATTTTAGTGCTCACCACAAAAATCATTATATAATTGTATAATTTCCAAAGCCTAAGATTGTCAGATATGCCTTCATGCAGAATGGATGACACCAACATTGCCTGAGTGGTAAATCATAATCTGCACTGACATCTCACAGACTAGGGTAAAGCAACCATGAAAATGACAGGGCAAAAAGAAGATTCCTTGAGACATCTACTATCCACCTCATTGAAACTACAGAACAAAACTGAGGAATGCATACATTAGCAAAACCTGTTGAATACAATGTCCAGGATCAACACATAATATACAAAACTCCTGATGACCAGACCTAGGCTCTACTCTTCCTTGGTACAACCTTACTTATGTCTCCACTGAACTCTCAATAACCTAACCTGACCTATGGATGTATTGTGGAAATTTATTCGGTCCTAAAGTTCCACAGGGCAGATACGTCGTACAAAGATCCCATCAGGCCATGTATGGAACGGCTGGGTTGGGTGGCCCTTACACCCACCCAAAACACACACACCCGGGTTGGCAAAGGTGGTTGGAAAGGTACATCTTAATTGATAGATTTCCCCTTCAGGGAAGAAGTAGGTAGTTTATACTGTTAGTACACTAATATTAGGATTATTGAGGCAACTGTAGATAATAATAATGTAGACCTAAGACCTTAACGTAGGTAGTAATAGGCCGATAATGTAGGCAAACACTAGGTTATGTTAGCCAGGGAGAACTGAAAGCCAAAGTTTGAATGCTGGGCATGGGGTTTTGAGACCGCAGTGCCCTTCTTCTAAGACCAGACACCATCGGAGCAACAAGTGCCGTGATCAGCAGACGGCGCCCCCACATGTCTTCACATACTAGACCTGGGGAAATCTGGTGGAGGCACCTCGACGTACCGTAGATGTCCTCCTCCGTCAGGCCCATACAGTAAGACAAGACCTCCCTTTCCTACTCTGGATTCTGGCCAGTTTCTGGGGGAAATTACGAGTGAGTTGAGCTGTGGGTCTTTGTGCAGACAGGTGGCCCATGACCGGTACGTACCGGCGTCACTCCTTCAGGCTTAGAAGCTAGTGTCCATTTCTGCATAGTTATACTAGGGGATACACACCCCCTTGGAAACAGGAATTTCTGAGGTGCAGGCAGGTCACTAATAACGACTGAATATTGCAGGAATTAAGGCTCCCGGTTGCATGTGGTTCTGAGGGGAAGTCCAGAGGGGCTAAAGCTTAAGGAGGTTGAAGACCGGAATAGATTCTCCAACACCAAGTAAGTTAGCCCTTTATTCGTGCATGCAGGCGAGATTTTCTTGCAACATCAGTCATTTGTGGAAATCTGTCCTATAAGCCACTTGTGAGGCTGAGGTGCCGACCTCAGAGCTTGGTGTCAACAGAGCTGGATAGGGTAAGCAGCTCACATGGAGGCAGTCTAGAAAAATTTTCACATGTATGTATGCACGTATGCTTTATGTGCTTTATGCTTTTAGTGCTTATTTCTAAGGACTGTACTTGATAAAAACCCCACTGTGAATGAAACATTGTTTAACACAAGGTTTTCTTGTACCAAAAATATCTACGAAACTAAAACAAGATTATAACTCAAATATGAAAGGCCTGAATATTTTACCAAGTTTCATAGAATTACAGAAAGCAAAGCAATGCACAGACGTAGTTAAATCTCAAAGATGAGAAGACACTTAACATCAGCAATTAAGGTGTTTTGCAAGTGGTGGTGGTAATGGTATTATTAACCCTGTCACTGTCGGTCCCGTAATATTACGGCTTTGAAGCCAGTGTCAGTCCTGTAATACTACGCCAAAATTCTAGCGACTTCCAATCTTGTGGGAGATAGCTGGTAGGCCTACATATGAAAGAATGGGTGCAAGTAGTCAATGTGAGCAGTATAAAAAAAAAATCCTGCAGCACACAGTGCATGAGAAAAAATAACTTCGACCATGTTTTTGGATTAAAACAGCGACTTTGCAGTGTATTTTCATATGGTATTTAAGGCAGAATTCTCGTTTTCTTGTTCTCATTTGACAGAATGGGAGATACTGTATATTAAACAAATAAAGATAATTTTGAATGGTTTACAGACCAAAAGTAGCTTGAAAGTGAGCTCAAAGTAGCAGAAATGTTCGATTTTTGACGATGTTCAAGAGTAAACAAATCATGTCACGCATCCAATACACATCAACTGTTGGGTCTAATATGCTTTCACAAATGCACTGATATTATTTATACCATTTTTACAATAATGCAGTAGTCTGCATAACAGTAAATCTATTTTTTTTTTGTGTGAAAAAATTCAAAATGGAAAGCAAGCGTAACTTAAGAGGGGCCTGGAGACATGACTAATGAACAAAGAAAATGTTATTTAGTGCTAAGAATGCTTGCATTGTTTATTCTGGTCCCTATTTTGAAATTGGCCTTTCTTGAATTTTCTATGAAATTGGCCAAATTACCAATTTCTGATCACTTTATTGGGTAGTTGAAATAGGTAAATGGGCAGTTTTTTGTACTCAATCGATAGAGCAAAAGAAAAGTGCAAAATAGCTATGAATACAGTCAACTGGAACAATGGAATTGGTCCAAAATAGTGCTCAAAATAGGCAAAATCTTCGATGCATAAACATCGCCGAGACAATTAACTTCATGAGAACGTAATTCCGTAAGTTTTCAATCAAATTTTGTACTTTTGGTTTCAGTACCATTGGGAAAAAATCTGTATCATTTCACATGAATTTTTTTTTTTAAATTCTTCGACACTGAGAGCAAGTTTGCAAGCAAGGGTCTCGACAGTGAAAGGGTTAAGTGTTGATTGAAGACTCGTGCAAATAATCACAGAGACTTTTACATTAACCCTTTGAGGGTTTCGGACGTACTAGTACGGCTTACACGCAGGGGTTTTTGATGTACTAGTACGCATAAATTCTAGCGCCGTCAAATCTCGCGGGAAAAGGCTGGTAGGCCTAGATGTGAAAGAATGGGTCTGTGTGGTCGGTGTGCGCGGTAGAAAAAAAATCTGGGACCCAGTGGTGCATTGTGGGAACGCCATCTTAGTAAACAATGTCCACCATGCCTCGCGGTAAGAAGCTCCTCACTCCTCGGCAAATTGGGACACTTTTGTTCCCCAGTGGCAGTTCTAATACAGATGGAAGTGCCAGTGAAGATGAGTTTCAAGGTTTTGGTGAGGTTTTGACCGAAACTAATGACCATAACATCGGTAATAGTGAGGAAAACCCAGACGACCCTCAGCCTTCCACCTATGGTGCTGGGCCGTCTTGTTCACGTTCAGTTGTACCAGAATCAAAGAGGAAACTCCTATTTTCCCAAATCCCAGGCTCAGATGAGAACATTTGTGATGATCGTGATAGTGAATATGAACTACAAGCTCTTCAAACTAGTTCAAGTAGTGATAGTGAAGTGCAATATTCCCCAGTGAAGCGTCAGTATATACGACGATATATGCGCTATGGTAGTGAGCCATGTGCTATTCCAAGGGGAAGGAGTACATCTCGGAGTACATCCCGTGGCTGTACAACAGGAACAGACAGTGAAAATGACGATGATACTGTTGCAATTGGGATGGAAAATGTGTGTGGTGGTAGTGGTGCCGGCAGTGAGGCACCAGCAGTGGGCCATGCTGCCACCCACGCCGCTGCCTCAGCTGATCTACAACAAAGGCCACCATCCCCCACCCACCCACCACACCAGCCTCCACAACCACAACCACCTGTCATTGTCCAGTACCCACCAGCTGACCGCACCTGGGATTGGCAGGAAGCATGGTGATCACTTCCTAGTAAAACTGCCTGCTACTGCTTTCAAGAAAAAGGCTCAGAAGAGGTGTTACGTCTGTGCACATACAAAAAAACGCCCACAACAATGCAGAGACACTCGTTTTATGTGTGAGGAATGTAAAACACCACTGTGCATGACACCATGTTTCAAAGACTTCCACAGGCTGCAGAACTTCTAGAAACATGTCCTGTGACTATATATGTGTATATAAAATATAGAAAAATAGTAATAAACAACATTTCATATCGTTTGTTTGTGTAAATATTTTCTATAAACAAAATGACAACAGTGTTTACGCCCTTATTGTGTAGTATTGAAAAAGAAATAACTTACGAAATACTGATCATATTGGTCTCAGAGGCCATAAAAGTTACTCAGAAAAAGAAAAATTGAAAAATAATTGAAAATAGTACATAAAAAAGTAAATAGAAAAATACCAGGTGACGGCAGTGGGCGATGTTACCAGATGTTGTTCAATTTTGGCAAACTTCACGCCTCCATACCTCAGTAAGTATTGATGGTAAAAAAATTTTGTTTAGCCTATAATGTTTAGAAAAAAAAAAACTATTTTTTCATAAGAAAAAATATTTTTTTCTTTTTTAAATTTGGCCGACCCTGAGAACGAGTTTCTGAGAGGGCCTGTCGACCCTCAAGGGTTAAACTACTGTTTATAAATTTTGGTAAACCATATAATACTTTAGTCTTAAAAATGCATACAATAGCTTAACATTTAAAACCAGCAAATAACTCACCTTTTGCACCGAGACGGACTTTTCTTGTTCTTCTGGCACTTCCTTCTCCGCTAAGGGATTTTCAATCATCTGCTGAGAAGGTGGAAGGGGACCTCGGGCACATGCTAAACTACAAAACTTTCTCTCTTTTCCATAAAATGCGTGTTTGACCCCGATGGCGCCACATTTTTCACAAACGGCTATTGTATAATGAACACACATTATTAAATCTGATCAGTTATATAGAAATAATATAGGAAAACAAACAATCTTATGTACTGTAAATACTTAAGAACATGCTTTGGAATCTAAGTGTGTTGGGGCACTTCTGTTACTCAATATGAACCATTTTCAAAACTTTGACATAAAAGGCAAAATGGAAGATCAATGGAAAATGATAAATACTGTACTGATATTAAACCTCAGGTGAATAAAATAACTTATTAAACAGTAGGTTGGAAGACAAAAAAACACCCAGGGAGGCACTAGTGTCCTGCCAAATACCTGTAATTGTTTTACACATTGGTAGGATTGCTGATGTCTTCTTTCTGGCCCATAAACATGCAAAGTGAGGGGTACATCTTGCTACTTCTACGTACACTTAATTCATATTGCATATGCACGTACATTATAGGTAGTAGGTTGGTAGACAGCAACTTCCCAGGGAGGTACTACCGTCCTGCCAAGTGAGTGTAAAACAAAAGCATGTATTTGTTTTACAAAATGGTAGGATTGCTGGTGTCCCTTTTTCTGTCTCATAAACATGCAAGATTTCAGGTACGTCTTGCTACTTCTACTTACACGTAGGTCACACTACATACATATACGACCATATATATATATATATACACCCCTCTGGGTTTTCTGCTATTTTCTTTCTAGTTCTTGTTTATTTCCTCTTATCTCCATGGGGAAGTGGAACAGAATTCTTCCTCCATAAGCCATGCGTGTTGTAGGAGGCGACTAAAATGCCGGGGGCAAGGGGCTAGGAACCCCTTCTCTTGTATAGATTACTAAATTTAAAAGGAGAAACTTTCGTTTTCTTTTTGGGCCACCCTGCCTTGGTGAGATGCAGCCGGTGTGTTAAAAAAAAAAATGTATGTACATATAAGTATATACACACTTATCTGAATTTTCTTCTACTTTAATACAGTGGAACCTTGACTTAGTGAGTTTAATCTGTTCCAGGAGCTAGCTTGTAACTCAATTTACTCGTATGTCAAATTAATTTTCCTCATTTAAATTAATTGGAAAGCCATTAATTCGTTCCTGCACTCTGGAGAAACAAGAAAAAATACTTGAATATGATGCTATTATCAACTGTATGGCTTATTTATCTATCACAAGTCATCTAATATGACATAATAAACAATATAATTAACACAGAAACATAATATATACTCTACAATGAATAAAATAGGCCATAATACGGTAGAAGAAGCAGCGGCGGAAGCGTCCGCCATTTCCTGTCCAATTTGACTATATAGTATCTTCCCGTGCTCTTACTGTAAGAGAAAACAAGAGTATTTTTGAGGCTAAATGCAGTAGATAACTAGTTTTCTGAGGAAAACACCAAAAATATCATACATAAACACATAAATCATAATACACTACAGAATGTAAAGAAATAACAAACTGTTTATATAAAGTGTGTATGTACTTACACACTGAACATAACTGATACAATTTGTTTTGTTTCATCACTGAACATAACTGATATGGTATCTCCTGTGAGCTGCTTCTCTCTCAACCCTTTGACTGTTTCGGTCGTATATATACGACTTACGCGCCACTGTTTCTGACGTATTTATACGCATAAATTCTCGTAGGTAGTAGGTTGGTAGACAGCAACCACCCAGGGAAGTACTACCGTCCTGCCAGATGACTGTGAAACAGAAACCTTTAACTGTTTTACCTGATGGTAGGATTGCTGATGTCTTTTTCTGTCTCAAAAACACGCTAGATAACAGGGATATCTTGCTACTCCTACTTACACTTTGGTCACATTTCACAGACACGCACATGCATATACAGTGGACCCCCGCATACTGTTGGCATCACATAACGTTAAATCCACATAGCGATACATTTTATCGCTAAAATTTTGCCTCGCATAGCGCTAAAAAACTCGCTCAACGCTATTCGTCCGAGACGCGTCTATGTAAGGCCTGAGCCAGCCTCACATGTTCCGCCGGTGGCATTGTTTACAAGCCAGCCTCCGCGGTAACATCCAAGCATACAATCGGAACATTTCGTATTATTACAGCGTTTTTGGTGATTTTATCTGCAAAATAAGTGACCATGGGCCCCAAGAAAGCTTCTAGTGCCAACCCTGTGGTAAAAAGGGTGAGAAATATTATCGAAATACTGTGGTACCATGGTCAACTGCTGATACTGCTGCTGCTGTAGCACTGTCAGCTGCTGCTGCTGCTGTAGCACCATCAGCTGCTGCTGCTGCTGTACAACCGTCAGCTGCTGCTGCTGCTGTAGTACCGTCTGCTGCTGCTGTAGCACCGTCTGCTGCTGCTGTAGCACTGTCAGCTGCTGCTGCTGCTGTAGCACTGTCAGCTGCTGCTGCTGCTGTAGCACTGTCAGCTGCTGCTGCTGCTGTAGCACTGTCAGCTGCTGCTGCTGTAGCACCGTCAGCTGCTGCTGCTGCTGTACCAACGTCAGCTGCTGCTGCTGCTGTACCAACGTCAGCTGCTGCTGCTGCTGTAGTACCGTCTGCTGCTGCTATAGCACCGTCTGCTGCTGCTGTAGCACCGTCTGCTGCTGCTGTAGCACTGTCAGCTGCTGCTGCACCGTCAGCTGCTGCTGCACCATCAGCTGCTGCTGCTGCTGTAGCACCGACAGCTGCTGCTGCTGCTGTACCACCGTCAGCTGCTGCTGCTGCTGTACCACTGTCAGCTGCTGCTGCTGCTGTAGTACCGTCTGCTGCTGCTGTAGCACCGTCTGCTGCTGCTGTAGCACTGTCAGCTGCTGCTGTAGCACTGTCAGCTGCTGCTGCTGCTGCTGTAGCACAGTCGTTGGTGTGGCTTATTGAGAATACCAAGAAACAATTAACCCCAGAGGGTTAGCCACCCAGGATAACCCAAAAAAGTCAGTGTCATCGAAGACTGTCTAACTTATTTCCATTGGGGTCCTTAATTTTGTCTCCCAGGATGCAACCCACTCCAGTCGACTAACACCCAGGTGAACAGGAAAAAACGTCTGGAACTAGTGCTCATATTGGTGAATTTAAAGCCAGCAAAGGTTGGTTTGAGAGATTTAAGAATCGTAGTGGCATACACAGTGTGATAAGGCCTGTTCTGGAAGAAAATGCCAAACAGGACCTACAGTACTCAGGAGGAAAAGGCACTCCCAGGACACAGTGTCTCATCAGTCATTGCTGCATCTTCAATAAAGGTAAGTGTCATTTATTCTTCATTTAGTAGAGTATTACATGCACAATATAAATTGTGCTTGTACTACTCTACTACTGTGTATGTATCCTTCTCTTTGTGTGTAGGAAAATGTATATTTCATGTGGTAAAAATTTTTTTTCATACTTTTCGGTGTCTTGCATGGATTAATTTGATTTCCATTATTTCTTATGGGGAAAATTCATTCACACAACGATAATTTCGCATAACAATGAGCTCTCAGGAACGGATTAATATCGTTATTACCTGGAGTTTACCTGGAGAGAGTTCCGGGGGTCAACGCCCCCGCAACCCGGTCTGTGACCAGGCGGGGGTCCACTGTGTGTGTGTGTGTGTATGTATGTATGTATGTATGTATGTATATATATATATTATATATAATATATATATATATATATATATTATATATATATAATATATATATATATATATATATTTATATATATATATATATATATATATTATAATATATATTATTATTATATATATTTTTTTTTTTTTTTTCAACAAGTCGGCCGTCTCCCACCGAGGCAGGGTGACCCCAAAAAAAGAAAGAAAATCCCCAAAAAGAAAATACTTTCATCATCATTCAACACTTTCACCACACTCACACATTATCACTGCTTTTGCAGAGGTGCTCAGAATACAACAGTTTAGACGCATATACGTATAAAGATACACAACATATCCCTCCAAACTGCCAATATCCCAAACCCCTCCTTTAAAGTGCAGGCATTGTACTTCCCATTTCCAGGACTCAAGTCCGACTATATGAAAATAACCGGTTTCCCTGAATCCCTTCACTAAATATTACCCTGCTCACACTCCAACAGATCGTCAGGTCCCAAGTATCATTCGTCTCCATTCACTCCTATCTAACACGCTCATGCACGATTATATATATATACATACACACACACATACGTCTAGGTTTTTCTCCTTTTTCTAAATACCTCTTGTTCTTTTTCTTCTATTGTCCATGAGGAAGTAGAAAAGAATCTTTCCTCCATAAGCCATGCGGTCAGAGGAGACTAAAATGCGGGAGCAATGAATGAACCCCCTTCTCATGTAAACTTTTATTTAAAAAAGAAAGAAGAAAAATTTTATAAAATTGGGGATATTTGAATTGAGGGTGTAGGGGCAAACAAGAACAGATGTTGCTGACTTAATTATGATAGAAGTTGGATGTCCTGGGGCCTAAGCGAACAAAGCTGAAGGGGTAGGGGAGTTTCGGTGGGGAGAATTTAAGGGGGTTAAAACAGGAAGAGTTTTTCGAGATAGTGAGGCTCAAGTTAGAGTATGTAGGAAAGAGGGAAATTATTTCCAGTAAATTAGGCCTTAGACAAGGATGTGTGATGTCCCCTTTGGTTGTTAATATTTTATAGATGGGGTTGTAAGAGAATTAAATTTGCAGGGGTTTGGGCAAAGGCTGGAGTTAAAAGATAAGAATCACACATAAAGTGGGAGTTGTCACATTTTGCTTTTTGCTGATGACACGGTGCTCTTGGGAGATTCTGAAGAGAATTGCAGAGTTTGGTGGATGAATTTGGTAGGGTAGCAAAAGAAGAAAATTAAAAGTGAATACGGGAAAGAAAAAGGTTATGAGGATAAAAAAAAAGATTAAGTGTTTAAAGATTGGATACGATTGGGGGGAGAGAGTATGGAGGAGGTGAATGTATTCAGATATTTGGGAGTGGACGTGTCAGCGGATGGATCTATGAAAGATGGTGAATCATAGAATTGATGGGGGGAAAAGGTGAGTGGTGACTTAGGAGTCT